ATCAATTGTTCATTTGCGAAATGTTAATCAATTGTCTCACATTTGATTATTTCTTCGTTTCCATACCAATCATTTTCTATTCTAATTCTCTTTTCTTCAATCTTCTTAACCTACTACTCCCAGGCATTTCACTTTCGATTAATGATATATACTACTTATATCTATCGACATCAGTAGCACGCATCATATTAGTAGTGATTATTCATAATAAAAATAGTATTAAATATTCAACATTCTACATTAATAAGAAATTCTTAGAACAAAATATAAATATAAAGAATGTTAGCCATAATATTGACAAGATAAATGATTAAACATATTGAAAGGTAATTTATTTATTATTGTCATTATGTGCTTCATGTCATCTCTTTCGTATGCTGACGCCTATGTGCTCAAATTGAGTGATATAAACAATGTTAAACATACATGTGACAAAATATTGGTACAAAAGAGGCACCCAATACATATACGCCACACAGCTCACTTGATTTGTGTGTGGGCTGTGATACTGCTTGGGTACTCAAACCGAAGGAGGCGGCTTTCTTAGGGGGGATCACACACGGAGTCTTAGATCTAAACGCTCTAATCCACAAGGCAGTGAAACAACGTAAGGAGATGCAGTGCCATGATAGTTGGTGACCAATGATTGATTCATATATCATTTGTTCCTTCAGGATACTAGAGCCCATGTACACCATTGGTTTGGAATCAGGGTTTTCCAACTCCCTAGTGGATTTTTCCTATCCACCACACCGGTTACAGTGCCGAACATTGGCACTTAACCTCTAGAACCACTGAATCGGCATCCAACGGTGTTAATGACTAACTTCAACCAATCCACGAAATTGGGCGACACATCCACCATTGTCTTCAGTGAGTTACTATCTTACAACATACCAGGCTGAACTCTACTGGTCACCGCTTCTCACTAGAACTTCGGGAAACACCTCTTCAAGCCAGTCACTGGTGAGCATATATTACTTAAAAAAGACATTAACTCATCATTCGCCATATTTTATGAATAATGGAAATCGGTCGCGCAATTTCGTGGATTGGTTGAGGTTAGACATTAACACCGTTGGATGCCGACTCAGTGGTCTATCGGTTAGGTGCTCTGGCGCGAGACTGGTAGGTCCTGGGTTTGAATCTCGCGAGGCGTGATCGTGGATACGCACTACTGAGGAGTCCCACGATGGGACGAAACGGCCGTCTAGTGATTCGAGGTTTCCCATAGTGGTCTAGCTTCAATTGATTCATGATCTCAACTATTTAAAAAAACTTTATGAGTAAATTCATCACCATATTATATTCATGGATCAATCATTTTTATAGAGCTGAACAAACTTTAACCACTTAATTATCTAGTAATCTTTAAAAATCAAGTTATGTCATATGAATTTTCGAAATATTTAACATTACAACATATTAGTTAATGTAATGTACAAAGTACCACTTAATACATATCGCTAAACCATTGGTAGAGTAAACACTTCATGTTAAACTATCCAGTTTAATTCAAATTTTTTGAGCTGATTAGTTAATGAGGTAATAATAGTTTGGCATGATACAATCTAATGTATTTATCAAAAATGGTTGCCTAAGTTAATTGATATAAATGAGTTTCAATAGTTGAGATCATGAATCAGTTGAAGCTAGACCACCATGGAAAACCAGGAAGCACTGAACATTCAGCTCGTCCTATTGTGGGACTCCTCAATAGCGCGCATCCCCAGACTCGCGCCGTCCAGTGCTTCCAGGTTGGTCTAGCTTCAATTGACTCATGATCTCAACTATTGAAATTACTATAATATCCACAAAACCCCTTCTGATATTTATGAGTTAAGACTATTGAAATCGAATTATAATATAGTTTAATCCCAGTTTGTCCTACTAAAGTACAATTAGTCAGTTAATTGTGAATGATTTGATTCATAACATGATTCATGAAATAATTCAATTAATGAAAATGTATAGAAGAATTCAATTACTTGTTGGTTCTGTACTGTCTATATATAATATAAACTGTATAATACATTTTGCTTATAGATTCCAGTAACTTCTGTTAAATTTCCTTATTATGGTGAATGAGAGCTCATGTGAGGAAAACTAATTTATATCTGACAACATAAGTAGCATACACCACACTCATCCCCTCTTTAAACGTCCGGTCCCACAGTTATTCTGCTTGTCGTGCCACTTTCTTCTTTGCCACAGTCTGTACCACGCTCCCCATCTAAATGTCGAATCCGCTAGCTTGTTGACATCTATGGTTCTTTCAACCTTCCAGGCCACCTTAATCCGACGTTCACCTAGCATCAGAGACTTATCACGTCTTCTCCCCATCAATAGCGACTGATACACTCAACACTCTATTCGACATCTTCCTGAGTCAAACCGCACCAACTAGCGACTCCTCTGCAGGCCGTACAACAGTTTCCACAAAATTGCCCTCTTTCCACCTTCCCTTTAGGCAGCGACATCAAATGTAGTGAATGAGAACTCAGGTGATGGAAACTAAGTTATATCTGTTAGCATAAGTAGCACACACCGTAGTTTTATGTAAAACTTGAACAAATGCCACCTATAATAAACCTACTTGTATTCATTACTGATTGTTATCAAATTTGCCTTATCTATTAAAATGTAAATACAAACTAGTCAGAAAAGAAGTAGCTACCCATCAATGATATTGTTTAAGGATTGTTTTTTGACTGTAAACTGAATTAAATCATAAATTATCATTCTCACTTCAACACTTACGGATCCATCTTTTAATCTTCTATCCAATGTGTCTATTCATTAATGAACATCTTAAGCTTCTACTATATTATACTAGTACACTACACTATATATCACTATGTGTTCTGCAATTGATATAACTTCTTAATAAATCTATTACTAAGGCAAACAAATACAAAAAACTCTGTTTCAACTAAACTAAAGATCGATTCTATTTTCCCTTATTTAGTTTACGTAACCATTAGTAACACCCATACACGTATAATAGAATAAGTCTAAATTTAATCTTATTAAGGAACAATAAATTATTATCTAATATAAATCTTTTATTCTGAAATTGTTCTCTTTGTAGTAGTGCAGAATATTATTAGAAAAGTTTGATGTTTAAAATAAATGAGATTTATCAACTGATTTTTCTAACTTATAAACCAATGAACTAAGAAGATGAATTTCTTTGTGCCCTTAAATGCCTTTGTACGTCCGAGAGTGGGGAGAGTCCGCTCTCTCAAAATGCTTTCATATGGTCACGTGTATATAGCATCTACCATGGAAGTCCTACTCACAGCCTTCTCGTGGCATTACTGTTGTTTATGAAATTGAGAGGACGAAAAGCGAATGTCCGGCACTTTACCCGGACACGGAAAGTCCACCTATGGATGTTAGAAAAACCCCGTTACAAACCAATGGTGCACATGGGCTGTCCCCAGTATCCTGAAGCAACAAATGGCGTATGAATCAATCGTTTATCACAGGCTACCATGGGACTGCATCTCCTTACGGTACTCCACTGCCTTGTGGATCAGACCTATAGGTCAAAGGCTCCGGGTGTGGACCCCTAAAAAATCACCTGTTTAAGTTTGAGCACCCGAGCAGTATCATAGTCTTCACACAATTAAATGAAATGACATATTTTTGTGTGGCGCATGTGTATCTGGTGCCTCTTTGTACCAATATTTATGTGTTTAAATAAATAAATAAAAATTTTACATGTGTACTCACATACTAGACTACATTTCTTAACAATCATAATAGTTAAAAGTGATATTAATCCGTTAAGTCGCTGATTGTTAGTGATAAATAAGTAGTCTTATTCAAGATAGACTTTTCTTAACAAGCAGATAATGCTAGACTACTATGGAAAACCTGAAAGCCGTTTCTTAATAGTATGGAACTCCGCCGAGATGCATATCCACAATCCCACACTTGGGACTCGGACCTAGGATCTTCAATCAAAAATTGATGTACCTAATTAAACGTTTTCATTTCAGTATGACTGGATAATAAAATGCGAAAGTTAAGATATTTGCTGATGGAATTAATGTGAATGAAATTAATTTGAATAATATAACTCTTACAATGAGAAGTTCACTCTTCGTACCTTTCTCAGTAATTATCCTTAGATGTAGGAAATTAGTATATGCACAGCACAGCAAATACAATATTCGGAAATATATATTAGTTCCTAGACATTCCAATTACTGAAATCCATATAAAGACATATTGTAGGGTTTATTATTACATTCATTAAAGATATAAATTTACATGAGATTAAGCTTATAACAATTTGATATGCGATTTTTTTTCAAATGACTGATAACAAGACCAACATTAAGTGCTTGAAAGCAATCAGTAGAAACCTTAAAATTTGGTTATTGTCTGCTTGATACTTTCCAGCAAAATGCATTTATGATCGTGAAGAAACTTGTTCGCCTTAAAAAAATTCGAATCCATGTTACATAGCACTAAAGCTAATGACGGTACAAGAGAATTATGCAGATGTTGATTGATCGTTGTTTCTAGTTGTGACTGAAAATCTAAAATTCGCGTCATTACTCCGGTGTTGTATTTAAATCGAACTATAAATCATTATAAGCAAAAATGGATAGTGGCAAGCAGTAGAAACTAGGAAGCGTGTTTCACCCCATTTTGGACTCGTCAGTTAGATGTACTTGCATCTCAGAGTTGATGTCCCTGAGTAAACATTAACCCTAGGATTCAGGTATTTTTAGCTGACGAGTCCCAAGAAGGATGAGACGCACTTCCTGGATTCTACTGCTAGCCATTACCTATTCTTGCTTATTATGTTTATGGATTAAGGTAATATCGAGGCAGAATGCACCGCATGCACATATGTCAATAAGAGACTGATCAATTGTAGTCCTAAGCATCAATGGGAAGATTCAAGAAAACAGTATCAAGTGTTCTTGAAGTTATAAGTTATTAATAAGTATTGAATACATTAAAAAAGACACTGGTCTTACCTTCTATATTCATAAATATGACTGTATACATATTATCTACAGACATTATTCATTATAATTTATGTAAAGATGTTTTAAAATCTTCTGACCATTTATCATCTTCAAAAACTAATGTATGCTGTTTCTTGATAGAAGAAGCTAATGGTGGTCTACCACTACCTATTTTTCTTTTACTTTTACGATAATTAACAACCGGTGATTTTTTTATTTCACGAAGTGGTGTTGGCGATGGTTGTCCATTGGAAAGACGATTTCTTGAACCATAAATACTTTTATATTCTCTTTCTTTTTGTGTATTAACTTCTGCTACATTCACAGTAGTTAGCGAAGATGATGAGATTAGTGATGGATTCAAAGTTTGTGAAGAATATTTGTTTTTTATTTCTTTATGATGATAAGGTAATGGGAGATTGATTAGTTGATTCTCTTTTTGATTTATATATGGAGTTGATGAAATCTGTTGACTAGATTCAATTGAAAGACCATTTAATGAATAATTTAAATGACGTTTACTATACAGTCGGTTAGTTAATAATACTCTTTCATTATGATAACCTTTACTACTATTATTATGATTATTGTTTAAACCATTTTTCAACGATCCATTCCACATACTACTTGAATATGATGTGGATCGACCTAATAAAAATTGTTGACTTTGATTACTATTATATTTATGATTATTATTAGTTTTATAAGTAGACATTGGTAGAAATGTATTAAAATTTTGTGAATATGATAATGAACTATTAGGAAATGAATGATGACGTTGATTTAATTTTGGATGAGATCCAGATATATACGAACCTGTTATAGTTGATATTAATAATGGACAATGATTAGTTGCATAAAGACTATTATTATTATTACTACCAATAATATCGATCCCTGAATAGTCTTGATAAAGTTCATGAAAGTTTGTCAATTTATTCTTTGAATTGACTTTTATTCTTCGTCGAATCCATAGTACCAAAATAATAAAACAAATGATTAATATGATGTTCAATATAGCTAATAAGATTAATCCACTTGTTAAATATTCAGTAGATATACCATCTTTGATAAGATTATCTTGATTTAATATAATAGGAATGGTTTTGTTAAAGTTTGATTTTTGATCTAAGAAGGTTGTTTCTTTATGATTAGGTGACCAAATATTTGATTGATTAAATGATAAATCAGTTGGATAGATTTTTGAAGTATTCATGTTTAGTATAGATGCGGTTTGAGATTTCTCTTTTTTAGTTAAGTTTAAGCTGTTCGTAGTTTTGTCTATTTTTATGATGAGATCTGTTTTATTTTCAGTAGTAGTAGTAGTAGTAAATGTAGAAGTAGTAGACAATGGAGTAATAGAGGAATGTTTAGATGTCGTCACCAAAGGTGTGGTAACAGTTGTTGTTGTCCTAGGAGTACTGTTTACTGTTGTCGCTGTGTTTATAGTTGTAGGCATTATAATAACTGAAGCAGTCGTAGTCCGCATTTCTGTTGTCTGTTGTAGTGTAGTCTTACTTGTTTGAATATCCCTTACTGGTTTGTCATTATCTGATTGTAGACATTGGTCTCGATAGTTCATTTTTAAATCGCTAACAATATTTGTTTGATTGGGGTTCGGCAAACATTGGTTATCATATAATATTTGCATACCAGTCTCCTGTTTTAGTGACTGGGGTGAACTCATTAATGACTTGGGTGAGATTAAATAAGATGGTATAAAAGACTTTAACAGTCTCTCAGGGTTATCAGTCGATTGTTTCAAATCACAGATAGGATATTTACTGTACCAGTGCCAACAATTATAGAGATCGGGACAATGTGTAAGACGTAGTTGCCAACTTTTCCATGGAAACCATAAACGTCTAAACGAAGGGTTTTGATTTTCATAATCACAAAACAGAGAAAGACGAAAATAAGGCGGACCTTCATCCAAATAACCTGCATTATTTGATGATTTCGATGTTTTATTTGTAATAGGTATAAAACTATCCTCATCCCAATAGAAAGGATTCCATAAACTTAAGTGTGTTACACGTGACTTTGTTGCTAGATTGCCTAAATCATCTCGTCCAAGACGTTTGAAATAAATAAATGAAATTGTCAAATGAACAGGACTCAAAGGCATTTTCAGACTTAGTCGAACTGTTTCAATAATCCAATTTAATACTCCTGGTTTTAAATGACTAATTCGTAATCTCGAAGCGCTATTTGACTTTGAAGATAAATCATCCGCGCTTATTGTAGATGGTTTTAAGACAATTCGTAAATCATACCCTTTTCCATGCTGTTTAGATTGACGCTGTTGATTAGAATCTGCACCTGGTGATGGCACATGCCAATAGTGGCAGTCGATCATTGTGTCTTCACTGGTAACTTCAAACGATTGACTTTTACAATCAAATGTTAATTCATCTGAAGAAGATAAACGCTTTGCAAAACAATAAACATCTGGACATAAAGATTCACCAACATCGAAAACCGAATAATTAAATTCATTTCCAATATTTGGTTTGTCAAAGTATTTAGATTTGTAATCTGATTGATTGGAATTTCTTCTTCTTACAGAAATCGGTTCTGTATGATATACATTTTTTGGTGTTATCTGTTCTTTGATAGGAAACTTCACTTGTTCATTTTCTACATTTAAATCATCTATTATCAAAGGAAATGTTAAACTATCAATAATAGTAGGTGAATCGATTTGATTAAATTCATTTTGAGCATTTACACTTATTAGCGTTATAAGAATTACATTGACTAAACATCTATTAGTATACATTTCAATCAAGGGTAGTCACATTATTTGTAAGCATGTTTATTCCAATCTTTCATAATATTCCAATGTGAGAATATTCTTCTAAAAAAAGATAATTCCGAATAATGGAATCATCTAAATTTTGTTTAAATGTTATAACACAAAAATAAATAATTCAATCAACATCAGCTGTATACAATGGCCACGTGTTCATTTGTTTTCAAGTTATATTTCTATTTTCATTGGTTAGCTCGTTGACTTTTTTCTGATTGGCTAATTTAATTAGCCAATCATTATCATCTGACGACATGTACCATATAAACCATGTCAAAATATCAAATATTTCTAAAAAAAAGTCTTCATAGAAGTATTTGAAGAGAAAAGATAGAGCAATAGGCTAACTAATGAAGTCTATATGCTGAAAACATAAGATATCTGGAAGAATTTATCGAAACGGATGATGTGATCTGTGTTGTAATAAGCCAAAAATCAACAAAACGATATCAAACCGAAACTTATAACAATATGCCATAGGCTCTTAATTAATTCGATACAAGAAAAAATTGGAAAGAAATTATCAACAACTGGAAATTACAAGCTCATGCTAAGTAACCAGTCATTTTTCAAGAAAACAAATGCTGAATAACTTAAAATCTTTGCAGAAACTATACTGTTTAGTTAAAATACAATAACACTCAATTTTAACATCGTTGTCTGAATACTAAAGTAAAATCTGGATGAATAGGTTTATCGTTTTCACAGCGTCAATAGACACTAGAAAAAGCGGCGAGACTAAAATTTATGGACGACGGATCTGAAGTGACCTTGAGAAATGTCAGCCAATAAGTAAACAGTCAGCATAGAGTAAAAATATATTGTACAAAACCAAATAATTAAAGTGGATACATTTCTTTTATATGGTTTAAAAACCTGTCAATGTTAGAAAAAGATTCAAAGGTTCCAAAATCGTAATCCATAAGGTAGAAGAACTCATCCATATGGCTCCATAATAGTTGGTCTCTGGAACCATGATAAGGTCACAAAAACCGTCTCAGCCTCGACCACATAGCTTCAATATTGTTTGTGTGTACTCCGGTTGTGTAGGTTTATCATTTTTATCACGGATATGTCCCTACAATATTCATACCATGAACAGCCGAAGCTTCAGTAACATCTGCGATTATTGTAGCCAATGTTACTAGTGCTTGTATGATACAGTTCGCAGCAATTATTATATTTGCCCTAGTCTCAATCTGGATCAAGCGATAAAGGTTCCAATTCTAGCAAACGTCTTCCTTCAACATATATCACATCGAAGGACAACATCACAGTAGTCTGCACAAGGTCTACAAGTGATTTAATACCTGCAGTTACAAATACAGGAACTTCTTAGTAGTCTCATTTATTGTAGCCGCTTAATTGTCAAGTCTTCTCTATAATTCTCTGTGAACCGATCGTCCATGAGCACCAGGTACTGAAATTGGTGCCGTTAACTTGAAATCCTTAAAACGTTTCTGATTGGCTCGTCCATAAATTATAGTCTCGCCGAAAAAGCTGATTTAATTTGTATCGACGTTATAACTAAAGTTTCATTACGACTGAATTGATTTGTACAATTGTATTTATAAATATCACGGATATAAACTAGTCTATTAAAAATATTTTAACTTGAATTATTATTAAAGGGTGACGTGTAAAGCTAAATCACTTCAGGAATGAAACAGTTACCCTCTAATGAGATGTATTGTGAATAGAATGAAACTTACAAAAATATGGACCATTAGATCCTAACTCCTTGGTTTACTGACATTATCCTCATTAAGGTAACCATAGTCATTGAATTTTTTCCGTTTAATATGATGATGGCATACTTCTATGCCGCTGAAACTTACTAATATACATCCATCTGTAAGCCCTCCTTAGTTTTTATTATACTTTACCAAATATCACTAAGTAACAAAACCTAAGTGCAAAGATGTCAACCTTTGTGAATGAAAGGTATGAAATTAAACCACTGAGGTAAAAATATGCAGAATATAATTGGTAATGACAATTTAAACAAATCGGGATTGTATTCACTCAGTATTGTTTGTTTGTATCTTCCCATTGATGTTTAGGACTGCAACTGGTCAATCTCTTATTGGCCATAACGCGATGGCGTTTGGAGCAAAAGGTACTGGGTTCGAGTGTCAAAGTGAACATCAACTCTGAGATGCAGATACATCTATCTGACGAGTCCCGCATAGACCGAAACGTGCATCCTGGATTCCACTGCTAGCCACTATCCATCTTTGCTTATAATTGAGGTTTGTGCTGAAAATCCAACATAAATCATTAAATAAATACATTGACTAAAAGGAATTACATATTGAAATCCTTGATATTCACATAACTCTGAATCTCACTTCATTTGAGCGATTTTATTCAAAATTGTAGAGTGTTATTTCATTTTTTTATTTACGTCACACATATTTGTAATATCCCAATAAGTGGAAAAATGAGATTTTTTGGCGTTTCGTGACTCAGTGTAAGCCACTTCGTCAGAGAATAAATAGCCAAACTAACATTAATCCAAGTTCAAATAGTACAACGGAACAATTTGGGTTTAACAGCAGAAGACACTTTGGTTTTTGATTTAGCAACCTTGAGTTTGGCGTCAACAACTTTTTTTCGGCAACTTTGAAGCTACCAGATGCACCCTTTCCCTTATTCCCAACTCGTATAAAAGAACCTTTCTCAACATCATGCACGATGCCACGGTGAATATGTGCTGCCTGTTTTTCGACATCAAACTTGTAATTCGCGGCTATGTATTTCTTGATAGTGGCGAGTGAGCTGCCCTTACGATTCTTAACCGCCAAAATTGAAGCTGTAATCATGTTGATTACTGGCAGGTGACTGACTGGCGTCTTAGGTATCGACGACCTGGGGTTCTTCATTGGAACAGCCACTGTAGCGCTCATGACCAACCCCGTAGTCAAACTCACCACACGGAAACGATTTTGTAGAGCTTCGAGTGAAAATTTAGAATGTCTGTATCGAATACAGTTTGAATCATACATATCATGCTTATGAAGTACACAAATACCCAAAACCAACAACACCACTAGTCTATAGAATCCAAAGAGTTACTCAAAAACATCTTGATTCAGTCATGTTTACATATGAGATTCTTTCTATACAAGAACCTGTTCTCAATAAATATTATTTGAAGTTAAACCATAAAAATATTTTCAAGACATAGTTTAACTTGCAAATATACCGTTCACCAATTGTCTGAAGTGAGTTGTTATCATACAACAGACGTGGTTGAACTTCACTGGTTATCGCTTCCCACTAGAACTCCAAGACATGTATCTTGAAGTCAGTCACTAGTGAGCATATGATTATAGTCAGAAGGGGTTTTGTGGAGATTTCAGTATTTTTCATAGTTGAAATCATGAGTCAATTGAAGCTAGACGAACATGGAGAACTTGGAAGCACTGGACGGCTGATTGACTTCAAGTTACATGTCATGGAGTTTTAGTGAGAAGAAGTGACCAGTGGATTTCTAGCGGGTCTGTTGTGAGATATTAACTCACTGAAGACAATGGTGGATGTGTCGCTCAATTTCGTTGATTGGTTGAAGTTAGTCATTAACACCGTTCGATGTCGGCCAGTTAAATGGTCTATCGATTAAGTGCACTAGTGCGAGACTGTTAGGTAGTGGGTTCGAATCTCACGAGTGCGCAATCATGGATGCGCACTGCTGAGGAGTCTCATAGTAGGACGAAACGGCCGTCCAGTGCATCCAGGTTTACCTTGGTGGTCTAGCTTCAATTGACTCATGATTTCAACTATGAAAAATACTGAAATCTTCACAAAACCCCTTTTGATTGCAAATATACTTTTAACACACCTATTCATTTAAACCATCCTCATTTGGCACTGTATTCAAAGCAACAAAGAAAAAGAAAAGAAAAAAAGAAATCTGAAAAGTTTCATCTTATTTATTATTCATGATCAATCAATCATTTCAATAGAGTGATCCATTAGTCACAAGATTTTCTTTATACTAATTTTTACTCTTATGTACTTTCTATATTCATAATTCAATGTCATTTTACAAAAATGGTTACATTGAAAGAAGAAGGAAAAAAAAGAAAAGAAAATTAAATTTTTGTCTAATTAATTCTTATTTATAATAATCAATAATAATCAATAATCAATAAGTGAGTGTGATTCAAATCATTTGATATAGTACATGTTCAATTGTTCAATTTTTTCATTGGTTTTTTGTTCTATAAAAATGAAAATCAAATTTTTGTACTTTTATAATAATGAGTGAGATATTTTGAGTTTTAAAGATTAGAAGTATAGATGGTTGATGGCTAGTAATGGAATCCATAGAAGTGTGTTACATTTAATTTGGAATTCGTCAGCTTCATATAGCTATATCCTAGAGTTTATATTCACTCAAGGACTCGAACCGAGTACTATTCGATTTAAATGCTATTGCGTTATCCACTTATCTAGTGAGTTCTGATAGCCACCTGTTAAGTGGATGACACGATGGTATTTGAAGCGAACGGTACTGGGTTCGAGTCCCAGAGTGAACATCAACTCTCAAATACAGGTACATCATACTGCCTCAGTTATTGAGTCTTGAATTCTGCTACTAGCCACCATCCATCTTTGCTTATAGTGTTTGTGGTTTAAGGCAATTTCAAGGTAATCTTCATAGGATGTACATATGTCAATAAAAGACTGATCAATCTTAGTCCTAAATATCAATGGGAAGATTCAAGCAAACAATAAAAAATGGATTTCAAGATTATGTTATGTGAGATGTGAAATGTTTTGACTACTACCACTTTGGATAGAAAACAAAGTTTTTCTCCTTATTTATAACGGATGCATTTTCTGTTTGTTATGTCCCGATAACAATAGTGAATGGTAACTTTGGCATTCATTTATGGACCAGTATTATGTATATATTTTTTATCGTATAATTGCTAAATAACCAAACTATTCATATCCATGTTACCCTTATTATAAGCTTTATTTTGAACTATAGACTATTATTATACGATTTACCTTTCTTGAGTTATCCCTAGTTTATTAATTGCTGCCTCCCACATTCACAGCCACATTTGGCTAAATCTTGAACAAATATTATTTTCTAATATATTGGTACGATGTGGTCAGTCTC